TTAAAAACAGAGGAGTTGTTCTATGTTGTATGTTACCAATAAAAGCAAAAGCTCAGTGCCTATAGCCTTTGAATGAACAGCTGTAGGGCCCAGTTTTCCATGGTGTTGAGTGCCCTCAACTCTAATTGTCTTCAGGAAGTGCTTAGCACCTTGAAGGTTTGGGCCTGTAATTAATTAAAAATTCATTACAGAAAAGCCTTTATCACTTTTGTCTATCCTGCTGCCAAAGAATAATTATTTCCAACAGTATATTTTTGAGTTCTTTGGTTCAATCTAATTTGAAATGACTCTTGTAATAATGCTTCCAACGCTTCCCTCAAAAGACTTCTTCACAGGTTAACGAACCTCACCATTTGGAAACATCCCCCAAAATTAGTCTATAAAGGTACTTCTATCTGATTGCCATATACAATACTCACACATTTCATCCTAAGCTTTGTGAGGTGCGTATGTCTTGGTGAGCCATGGATGGAAAGTAGTCACTGATATAGCAGGGTACTGACCCATTTCTAGTTCTGAAAATCACAACCAAGGGAGTGAATTGGCACAGAAGAAGCCTGAGATCCAGTGGGGGAAATCAGAACACAGTTACAGTAATGCAGCTTCTAGATGACAAATACAGATCATGGTTAGATCCTTCTGTGCACAGAATGGATGAAGAAGGCTGATGCAGGCTGGTCTCCTGCACTATATGAAGAGTCAAGCAGGCCTCTGAGGATGCACATTGCTCAGTGAATGGATTGCACTTTACAGGAAAGTTGCCAGGTTCAATTCTCTGAATTCTCTGATAATTTCCATTAGCAATGTACACACTTGTTCTTTCCTGGCATTCACCATCCTGGATGAGCACTGATGTGTTTTTAAGGTGGTGGGTCAAATATTCCTAAATCTTCTTGAGCTTCACCTTGCATGATGGGCGCAATCTGCACTGGGGATGGTGGCTGGTTATTGCCAAGTTAGAGAAGTTATGGACTTCTCTAGCTCTGTAAAATCCCATCATATTTGACTTATCTCCCCTGCAAAGTAACATAAGAGCTCTTTGCAGCAGTGGCACCAGTGAAGAGGCTGGGGCAAATGTCCCACCTTCCCCCAAGTTTTTGCACTTGCTCAAAGTTCCACAGGCTGCGGAGCTGGGGGGCCAAGGCCCACCGCTTCAAAGCAGCGTTTCCCTGCTAAATCTGTGCAGCTGCTGCTGGAATGGTCAGAGCATCACTCCATCTTCCATGGTCACACCACCACTGAAATTTGACTCAGCTGCCCCTCCAGACAGAGGGAGGGGAGGCCAAGCTAAATTGCATTGCAGCCTGGTGCACAGGATCTCAACACCACTTAAATTTGGCCTGGCTGCCAGTCTGGCCAGATGATGGAGGGACAGCTAGGCCAACTGATGTTGCAACTTGGCACACTGGGAGTCTTTTCCTGTACAGCAGAGCACAGGGAAGCCCTCTGAGAACTCAACTCCAGGAGGCACACACTCACACTGTGTGGGTAAGAGATTCCCGGGGCTCTTGTGGGAGGTACGGGGGGGCACAAGCGAAAACCGGAATGGGGTCCCTGCTACGGGAAGGGCTGGAATCCCCCCCCCACAAGAAATATCTGAATTTGCAGTAGTTAGTGCTTGGGTGAAGTATCTGGGATATAGAGTCTGGATTGAAGAGCCATTTCACTATACAGAATAGGTCAGCCAGTCATGATTTTGCAGCTGTGTTGGTGGAGGAGTAGAATTGTTGCTTTACTTCTATTACTGCAGTGGCACAGACTTGGCTTGCTCATTAGTGTTCTACTCTTTTGCCTCAGTAATTTGTCAGTGGAAATCTTCATGGTTGGTGAGAAAGGAGGGCCTTGCAGCTGGATAATTTGCATTTCTAGAAAATATTATAAGATAGATAGATTCAGGAACCTTCAGGGTGAACCAGCGTTGTTGATTTGCTCTCCTAATGGAAGGAGAAATGTAATGATCTCCACCTATGTGAGGTAGTGATCAGATCAGAGGAGAGGAATGCTTGTTAAGTCTCCAACATTCATTCCTAGGCTAAAAGATCAATCTAGCATGTTGAACATATGGGACCAGATATATTTTGTGTGAACCCTATTGGCTCCATGCAGGAGAGGAGATCAGATGCTATAGTCTACATAGTGGCAATCACCAAGAACAATGTTCTGGTGGTTTACAGGTTTTGGTTTTTGTATGCATTTTAACACAAGGTGAAAGTATAATATTTAAACCTGCCAGACATGTTTAGAGCAGTATCTTCCAACTCAGTCTCTTAATTTTTCAAACACACACATTTATTGTTAAGTTGTTTGTAAAATACTGAGTATATTAAGCACAGACTGAGGAAAAGTATAGGAAGTAATCATTAGATATGCTGGTTTTCATGTGAGGAGAGCCTACCTAAGTAAAAGAAGGCTTGACTGAAATTTCCTGGTACATCATCTAGTAAATTACTAGAACTTACAGTGACGTAGATAATGCTTGCCTGGCTGACAACATAATTAGTTGCACACATTTACTTGTGCAAAAGCAAGACTGTTGTACCTTTGAAAATAATATTGTGCATCCAATACACTTACAATACTAGGGACAAATTTTGCTCTCCATTACACTGTTGCAAATCTGAGTAACTTCACTGGAATGAATGGAGCTACTCTATATTTACCCTGGTGTAACAGAGAACAAAATGTGGCTCACTCGCCAGGAATAATAATTGGCAACAATTTTAAAAAATACAACCCTACATGTCTAAATTTACTAGTCCTATTATCAAAATTGAGAAAATTATGGCAGCAATGTCAAAATCTGTCAATTAAGCGATTACAACTGTAATAATTCTTTTCATATTAATAATTAGGCACAATATTTGTAATCTGTGCTTTGCATTTTCACAGCACAGTACAGAAAGCTTATGAAGAAATTATTGGGCTTTGCATTAACGCTGATGGGTCCCCATTACAGACCTGCTGAAATTTTAACTCTCACACAAACATAAGAATAAATAAGTTGGAGAATGCACATATAGAGTACACATATTATTCTGACATTCATTCTTCACTTTGGTTTAAGTCATTCCATATGTGCTTAATGCTCTTTGGTGCTAGACTGCAGCATATTTACATTGTAATATCCACTCTAACTAGTGGACAATACATTGTCTGTATACCAGATTCTGCATTGTTGAAATTAAAATAAAATAACATATTAAAAAAAAGGCCATTGTGTGACACTTTTGGAATATAGTTTAATGTAATTCCATTTCAAGGTCTACAATTGAAAACAGTCACCCATGTTGTCATTACTGATATTCTACCATTTTGTTTCTCAGGAACACAAACTGTGGTGTAAGAAAAGGGCTCATATTTATAATATTAGGGGTCTCTGCTCCAATTTATTTAACTCCTATTAACAGTAATGGTAGTTACTCTCATTATCAATGGAAGAGAACTTCATACAAAAGGTAAGCACAGAAATAATGAATTTTCACTTGTTTGTCATTCTATTAATTTTTTAATACTCTGTCCTATGGCAACAGCAAAATTTAAAGGCAAAGAATGTGTATTTGCTAGCACACACCACTCCTCCTCTTAAACTGAAAGCTGACAGGTTGTTGTTGCAAAAAATGAAAAAAAAATCTTTCATTGAGAGCAGCCTGTTTAACCTTTCTGTTACATGGTGTGATTAAATTTACTAACTGATTTTATTAAATTTGCAAGATAGTATATTTATCTTCATTTTGGGGACAGTGTGTGGATAAAATTTGCAAATATATTGGTCAAAAAATAGACTAGTCTCGATGCACTGGGTTGGCACATTGTCAAAGCAGAGTGAGTTTCTCTCTCTCTCTCTTTTTCCCTCACACACGCACACACACAAACAAACACCCACCATGAATGTTGCCAATAGAGTAAAATTTTCACATTAATACTGGAAGCAACTCAAAAGAACCCCGGCCGACATCCCATCTGTTCCCAGGAATTAAATTTAGAAATCATATGTAATATAGACATTTCTGTCTGAATATTATAAAGCTCTGACACATCCAGGCTTTCATTAAAAAGCTCTGAGATGTGACTTGAATAACAATTTGTCTTAGTTAATTAGTATTTTCAGTTTAGCATATTCACTTTCAGACGTATTGCTGTTTGCACATGGTAATTTAGGTAAACAGATCCCATCCACAGCTGCATCAATTAACACTGCTAATCAAAACTGAATTCAGGTAATTAGGCACATTTATGCAAAAAGTGTGTAATTTGGGGGGAAAGCTAGATTCTTCAGTAATATTCCAATAAGCATGAGTCTCTTTTTGCAGATAAGATGAGGAAATAAAGTGTAAATCAGCACTAATACATACCTGATGTAGCCTCAGTGAAAAATATCTAAATTAAATCTCACTGTTTAATTGGCCTGTATTTTCAGAAATTGGACTGTATTTTTTGTTTAAATGTATTCCTCAATGTTTCCATATAGAACAGTTGTTTCATGTCTGAATAGAGGTTTAATATCATCAGACAGGACTTACAAGGTTGTTTCTTCAAATATTTATGTATTTATGGGCTATGCTGGTCAAACATGCTCTCATATCCTGACTAGCAATTTCTTAATGAAAATGCCCTCAGCGCATTTTCATTTTCTTTTCTTCAGAGAAGGTATATGTTAGCTATCTTCAAGAAACCACCACTAAAAATGTCTCTCTTTTCTCCCATTTATGTAAGAGATCTCTTCCCATGTTCACCTCATCTTAACAGTGTACAATAGTAAATACCAAATTACACCAAAATACTCCAGGTTACAAATTACTGAACTTTAAATTTCTGCAGCTCTGTTTTCAAAGCCTCTTACTAAATACCAGTTCCCCTGGTTTTTTTCTACATTTTCACCGAACAACATTTAGTAAAGCACAGGGACAACTGTACATTAATATCAAAGGCAATACTTAATTTGTATTAGACAATACATTCAAAGTAGGAACACTCATGACAACAAACACATAGTCTTTTACCTTTTGACTCATCATATTCCAGGGTCTTGGCTAAATCCCAGGTGTACATAGAGCTTTTATAAGTGACATGTTGATTTTAAATTCTTCAGCTTTTGTTTTCATAGTTGTGGGCACTTTCAAAAGGCTATGCAAGTCTAGCTGACAAAATACCTCTGTCAGTTTGTAGATAGTCTTCCATAAATTCTGAACCTGATGAAAAAAATTGACAAAGGGAATTATTGATTTTTAACAGATGTCTAAAATTAATCTACCATTTTGCCTACCTCAGGCTAATTCTTGTTCTCATAAGAGAACAATATAAAGCAAAATTGATTTCTCTTCAAAATAGCATGTTATCTTTTCTTAGACTACAGCAGGTCTCTCCCGTCCCATAGCTCAGAAATACTCACTTTCAAATAAACTTTTTAATATCCACATTGTATACTATGATTATAATAAAATTACTCATTTCTACTAAAATATTTATGTTAATAAATTAACTCTTTGTAATTATCAGTGACTAACCCAATAAAGATTTTGAAAATGCATAGCATTTATTTGAATCAGAAAGAAATACACACACACACTGTACTGCGTAATTTGCTGTTGTGTAGAATGTATGAAAATGCTAAAGTTTCCAGTACCGTAGTTAAATGGGTTAACAAACCTCCAGTTTTAATTTAGCTGTTTGAGTTGAATACCACTAAAATGTATTAATACATTACCGAGTGCACCTTATCCACCTCACAAAGAATTCAAAAGAAAACAAATTAAAGTGTATGGTAGAAAATAGTATTCTGAAGTATTTGGCTGTTAAAATATCAATTAGCCACATTGACTGCTGTTACTATAATCAAATCTTGAAATTTAGGATAACGCAATTTCTAACTTTTACCAAGACAAACTAAAAGCATATAAAGTTCCCCCTGCCATCCTGTCTGAAGGCAGTATGAAGCAACAATATAATCTCACCTCTTTTCCACTTCCTCTGCATTGACTTATAAGAGAGGGACATTCACCCACTTGTCATGTAAATGTTAAACTGAACAGCAGTTGTCCATAGTCTGTCAAATAATTCCTTTACATTGACATACACTGTATTTCATCAAAACAGCTGATTTGACCTGTCTCTGAAAGAACTTCCTTCTGCCTGATTAATATTTTCTTAAGAGAGCAAAACAAAAGCTGCAGTCACTAATGCTGCTTTAAACAGTACACACTGTAGCAAAAGCACTACAGTAACAGCATAAAACCCAGCTGGTGCTTTCCTCCACCCTAAAGTAATTACAGAGCTGTTTTTAATGGAATGTGGGCAAGTACTGTACATAGTTGGGTTTGCTGTTATACCCTTACTACATCAGTAAATATAAACAAATGTAGTTCAGAGCTTCTCTTCACTAAGCACCATCACGGCACAATTCACCATTCGCTGGAAAATTTAATACTCTCTTAGAATACCAATATTTGTTGAATTTTGCATTTATTAATTGTTATTGAGATTTATGGAAATTTAAGATGGTATTAACTAATATTGATCAAAGAATTATTGCATATTTAAATAACTAAAAGAGGTTCACACTGAAGTTGATTAGTACATGAAGAATTTCTCAAACACACATGTAACTCATCTACTGCTCATTTATCACTTCACTTTACAATATGGGAGGGAATGGGCATATTTAATGGTAATGAAGAGACAAAATGCATGAGATTATAGAGGTACCCTTTATTAGCAAAATGTGATGGATACCTAGTGTTAAAGGAAATCTTATTAAAGAAACTCAGGTCTGAGAAGACCAAGCTTGTTTAATTTACAGTAGGTAGTACTAAATATCATACTCTATGTATTTAAATTAATTTGGACATTATAATTTCAATATTTATTTGGTATACCTAGTGTGGATTTGATTATGCATGATATTTCAGTACAAATTAGTTTTGTAAACTATTTGTATAATTTGTAAAAATTATCATTTTTATACAGTAAATTTAAGATTTGAGAACTTCAGAGGCAAAAGCTGATAGCTAATCATTAGTAATCTACACCCTCACAAAAGAGAGACAATGAGTTGTTTATAAATGTGGAATGGACTGCAAGTCCCATAATTAAGAATCAGGCAATGATCCTTTTAGCAAATGGATCTCTTAGTTAAACATGCTGCTAATCCAAGCCTCAAGGTATAATTCATTACTCTGGAGGATCCCCTCTATATTTTTGCCAGCTGTTCCATCTAGGTCACTCCACCACAAGTATAGTTTTCATCTCTACCTCACTTTCTTCCTGGGGTCCCACAAGCAGAAGACTGTCTTTCTGAAGGCTGTTTAAAGTGTAAATGAAAAGACTAGGCAGCAGTGAGCTACTACCTCCGGCTCCTTAATTTCTGCACTACAATGCCTTGGACTGCTTTACCTTGGTAAATTCAGTATGAATTCTTCTTTGATGAAAGAGAGGAAAAAATGAATATGGAATGGAGATAGTACATTTATTATCATTTTAATAGTGTAGAGCTATAGAAAAGGATAGGAACTTTTTACTATGCACTGAGCCGCTAAGGGCTGGGTCAGTGAAGTGGCCATTACAGCTGATCCAGATACCTGCACTGTGGCTAGCCATGCAGGAGGAGAGGCAGGTAGCCAGGAGGGGACAGAATAGGGAAGGGAATGGGGAAAGATGTTAACCTGGTATAGTTTACTCCTTCTCCAGATGTGTGGGGGGAACTGGGAGGGAAACAGTGACCTTTTGAGGGCTTGTCTACACACAAACTGGATAAAAAAGAACTGGACTGGTTTTAATTCACACACACTGATATTTTGGTGAAAGCCTCTTATCCAACATGTGAACATCCCACACGCAGATTTATACTGAAACAATGGAAGGTATGAATTTAAATGGATTGAATTATTTTGGTTCAATTTTTGTGGAGCCAAGCCCTCAGACGGTCACTATCTTCCTCCTGAACTGCTTCGGGGCAGACCAGCAATACACAGATCCTTACCCTGGGTGAATTGTGAAGACACAATTTAGCCATAATTGACTACAAAATTATTCACTAACTTGGAGTTACTTTTTATTTAAAAACTAAATAAGAACAAATTAGATAGTTCTGAAGCCATTTCTAAGAAAGAATTCCTGAGGAAAATCAAGACATTACCGTTTTATACAAATCAAGACATTATACAAATCAAGACATTATCGTTTTATACAAATAAATTAATAGGGTTTAAAACTTTTTGTAACATAATTTTAATGTAAACCTAACGCAATGCAAAACCAAAATCTATCAGAAATTATGTTGGAGACTGCTGAAATTTTCTAAGGCAGTACAGTGGTCCTTGTAACCCAACCCACAATCCTGCAAACAGTTAAGCAAACACAAAAAACTTTACGTATGTGACCAGTCCCATTGGTTTCAATGAACTACTCAAGTCACACATGTGGTTAGGTGCAAATGTACTTTTGGGATCAATCCTGCCAGGTGATTTTGGCCTCTTCAGCACTTAAGCGTATTCTTAATATTAAACAATGTGAGTAGTACCACTGAAGTCAAAGCATCTAAGCATGTGAGTAGATCTTAACTTCAATGGGACTACTCATATGCTTACATTTAAACAGGTGCTTATGTGGTTTATTGATCCAAAACTAGAGATCTCAGTCCCCTGCAGGATCAAGCTCCAAATGCAAAGGGTTGTGCAGGTCAGCAACATTACTCATGAGAGTAGTCCTGTTAACTTCAATAGGACTACTCACAAGAGTAATGTTGCTCACTTGTGAGAAATTCTTTGTTGGATCAAGTTCTAAGGGAGACAAAATACATCAATATGACTTATATATCATACCTCTTTAATGAGTTCCCATTTTTTTCCATTGATACCATCTAGCTCCCGTGTGTAAAGATTAGCTTCGGACAGTGGTTCTTTATTCCGGAATTCCTTTACCATGACAGCCACATCAGTTCTTCACTTTGCCACTGGACTAGTTTTGCCAGAACTAAATCTTCCTCTTTCTGCAATCGTATCTCACTGACATGCAAAAATGAAAATTAAAACATTTTTTTTTAAAATCCTGAATGACAAACCACTCTTTTCTGTGTTTGCATTTAAATTGGACAGAATAATTTAGCCATGCTTTTTAATTTCAGAAGGGTTAATCACCCTAGCAAAAGTCAATAAAACTTTAATCTCCAATAAAATTGTTGCAGCTCCAATCACCTGCAGGACATTTATTATATCCTTATTTCCATGCAAAAGACTGCATTACTAATCTTCTAACTCTTTACATTAGCACATTCACCATTAACATTTTACTAACATTATTAATTCCTCTAAAACTATTACAAGAGTTCATTTCTTCACATCTCAGGAAATAATCCTGTTAAAAACCAGGCACATCTGCTGTGACAGTTGCTTTAGTGGACCCCTCTAATCCTCACAGAGGTTTGATACTCCAACTGAGTTCTAACAATGCACAAAGTCTCAATTACATAAAATATTATGGGGTTTAGGTTAAAACAACAATACACTGTTGTAGTAACTTAATCTTGCCTATTGTCTGCAATTACATCACTAATCTATTTCGCTGCTATTCACTACATTTCCTATTCGAAACAAAATATTGATTTATAAGTTTTTTAAACTGCTCTTGAATAGCAATAGAAATACCAGGCTATGCTAAAACCACTGACAATAGGAAATTGATGATAGGAATAACATTTTCCAGCCAGAGCAATGTCCTATTTTGATACAAAGGCATTGTCCATTAAAAATGAGGGTTTCAGTTACCACTTCTTATTTTGTCTATTAAATAAAAGTAATATCTTACTGCATTTAATTTGGCTGAGGACTGCAAAATATCTCTGTAAAATACTATCCAGAATTACGTTTCATTATTAATTATTTTAATATATCTTGAAAACAATACAAGACTTAGCTGCTAACAGAAAGGGTCTGCATAGATATTTCCATTTTTTGTCCAAAATAAAAGTCAATCATATTAGCTAATTTGTAATACAATCTTTCCAGCCTCTGGTCAAACAATATCATTTGAATGCTCCTAACAATTTTACCTTTATAGTTAAATAGGTAGAAGTCCAAAAGAACACCTGATGAAGACTTGATATAAAACTAGAGTGCAACACAAGGAATTTGCTTCCAAAATTCTGGAAATTGACGTTGAAAAGTTACAATTACTTGTGCACACAAAGAATAATAAGCAAAAGGCTCCCACACTGGCCTTACTAATCCCTGAGAGGAAGTGGAGGAACCTTTGTATACTACCCCATTTATATTTCAAATGTATTGTTTAACTATAACAATAGCATTGTCACACACTGTAATATAAATATAATCTTTTACCTCCCAGTATTTCCTTTTCTGTCTCTCTCTCTTCCTCTTTTTGTTTTTTTTATATGGCACACAGACACACATACACAAACACTCCTGTCACTGTCAATATTCACACTCATTAGCAATATGTCAGGCGGGCATTTTCAACACATATTCCGGCGCATAACTGAACAACCAAGTAGAGCACACAAATATAAAAATACAGTGGCAAAGAAGAAAAGGCTCAGCAGAATAATTTTTAACTCTGAGAAACAAGTAAATCTAGAAAAGAATAAGTGAAATGCTTACACAACGTTTTCTAAGTGCAATGTGAATTGGGTCTCTAGATAGCAGCTCAGATATTGTTCTCAGTTTTTACATATAGACGTAAATACAAACATGTATATTTTAGCAACAACATTCCTTAACATTAAATTACAAATGGAAGAGCCCCGTGCTTTAACTGTTTCCTTTAATCTTTTAATCAGATTCAAACTAAACTAAAAACCCTAAGAAAATATCACAAAATACAAATTGAACAATATTTTTAGTTTCTAAATGATAAGCTGCCAACATTTTTGTAATACCTATAACTGAGAAAATCAGCAATGACAACCACCACATTCACAGTTTTGACAAACAGTGTTTGACACAAAAATAAGGTGCACAGTGCCAAACTATATTTTTGATTATTAATCTTTTTATTCTTAGGTAAAATTTATTCTTGGTTTCTGTTATAACTGCTTTAAAAATCCAGATAAAACAACCAAATTTCTCCATGTGGCACCATGAAATGAAACCTAAAAGTCATAAGAACATTTGCCTAAATTAACGAGAGACAATTAGAGCAAGTGCTATTGTGAAAAGAACAAACATACCTTTAGCTGTACAAGTGCACCCCTTCTCAGCACATCTACATAGTTCTGCAGCTCCAGGATTGCAAAAGTCGACTCTGTAATGCTTATGATCTTTGTGACAATGGCATCACACTGCTGGTAAATTTTTCGATTATACTTCTCAGATGTGGTAGCAACTTTGTTAATTATGATATTAGCCAGCTGGCGGGTATGATCAATCATCCACTGTAAGAAAGCCAGACAACGAGACATCTAATCATTGCAACCAGAGCAGATAAATTTTGTTCCTTTCTTATACGTGTCACAGATTCTATCCCTCCTGACCCTCTACACAGCCATCGACTGTCAAATTTAGATTCAGCAAGCTCCCAGCTTTTCTTTATCCCTGCCTTAGATCTGAAACTCCTGGCTATCAGGAAGACAAGCGTCACCAGCTGTCTCCGAGCAGGAAGGCAATCAGGTGAATAGTACTTATTATCTTTCATTGCTTTCTGAGGAGTGACAAGATTGATTTGGGACCAAAAGCACATCCATATCTCTAGCACAGTGACTAGGGCTTCAAGTTTTGACTGTGGTGCATATGTAAAGCTGTAGTGAGGGACTTCAACCCTGACCTTATTAATAATGCATCTTGAAAGTTTAAAGAATCGAAAAAAATAATCTGAAAATTTACAAAACTCCCTTTTTACAGCTACAGTGGATATTCCCTTCCATCCTCCTCCCCAAAAATATGTGTAGGATGACTGCACTGTTACCCAAGGGATTCTGTTTCACAGTTGGATAGCCTTAATTGGGCCCATAGAAGCAGTTAGCTGCCATTAAAGGCTTCTCTGTAGACATCATCCTTCTCAACTAGTTTGATCGTCTATAAATTCTGCTTAGTGGAGCCTACACTGTGAGAAGGTTAAAAAATGCAAATAAATTATAACCTCATAATATAAAAGTATCCTAACTAAATTTAATCTGATAGTTAATTTCAGCCTTGCTCTAGGAAGCAACACTATGTTTGACCTTTTTTATTTAACAGAAAATTGTACAGCTTTGCATCCTGGCTTCAAGATTGTAGTTAAAAACTAAGCATATTGTGAGGTACTAAAAAGTGAATTAAATAAAGTGGAATAGAAAAAGTCAACAGCATACAAGTAGTGAAAATAAAAAACTAATACTAAACACGGTTGTACAATAATAAAGGTATGGTGATATTACATTTAACAAATTAGGCATAAATACCGTCCGTGATGATGGTCAATTCATAATGACATGCAAACATTTTTTTGGACTCTTCTTTTTACGTTCTATTTTGTAGCATTTACACAGGAACTATAGTAAATCTCTAGGGTGGACTTCAGTTTTGGCCGAACCGTTTGCAGTGAACATTTGACTATTTGATTCAGAGCCTATTCTCCAAAAAACATATCCTTTCAGAGCTCATGTACTTAGCTTTGTTTATTCCCTTTTAATTATCATATTGAAAGTCATTTCTTTGTTTTTCTTTAAAATTTAAAAAGATTGATAAGAATTTCACACACTTTTGAACACTAGGGAGAAAATAGCTGCAGATAGAAAATGTAACAGTTTATGAGAATATCAGGTATAATCTGGTTATGCTGCCTTGAAATTACAATGTTATCAGAGTTTGCTTTGTCCTTCTAAGTGTGAAATTCTGCTTTTATGCAACTGTCTGATGTGGAGAGTTTAAGGGGTCTGGTTGTAATGATCATTTAGATCTATCTTAATCATCAAAACACAAATTGCCCAAATTGATCCTTGTAATAGAATTTTATCCTGCTATTTATTGGACTAAAAGTAGGCAGGAAAATATTTACAGCCATACAAAATGCTGAAACAGGGACCTCTGTTTATAGAGGTAAATCTTGAAGTAAATGGCAAAACTCCCTTTGACTTCAGTGGAGCCAGGATTTCACTCGATATTTAAGAATCCATTTGTGCACTATGCCTTTTATTATTTATATGTATTTCCCTATTGCATATAGGTCCTAATTAGTATCAGACCCTACTGTTCTAGGCACTGTACAAACATGAAGATGAGACAGGCGCTAGACCCAGCACACAACTTGGGTTTCAGACCAGATGCAACAAGCGAGTGTAACAAACAAACAGGGGGAGTGATGGGAGGCTGAGGCAACGATAATATTACTTTAGTTTATTCTTTGCACAGATGAGCTTTATGCACCATATGGTGGTAGCTAAGACTGTCTCATTTTTAATAATATGAAATATACAAACATATCGGTTGTGTCATCCCCACTTGGCTACTTTCCTAGGCTTTGTCAGCTGTCTGTATACAGTAGGCATCACAGCAGAAGTGAGGAGGGATGTGAAGGAGAATAGGTAGTGGTTTAACTGCTTAATTTGGGGGAGCTGTACCATCCATAAAGGGCAGTATGAAAGAATGTTCAAAGTAGTACATCACCGGCATTTAAGTTTGGCCATTGCGTATAAATGTGACAAACTTTTTGTTTTTTTCATTCACTACACAACTGGACTCTGAGGCTGGAGTGCTCAAAGGGGCAAAGGAAGTTAGGCACCCAACTGCTACTGAAAATTAGTGGGATTTAGGCTTTCAACTCCCTTGAGGCTTTGAAAATCCCAGTCTCAGTTGTTCTTCCTATTGACATCTAATATTAAATGGTATCTCAAGAAAATAGCAAATTGGCAAGGAATGTATGGGGCTTGGGGGGAGATCACAGAGGGTATCCACAAGGAGGAAACAGAGGAAGAGCGCTTAGTAGAAGGTGCCAGACATCATGCCTAGAACAGGAGGAGAAAGAAGTTTGGTGGAGTAAAGGGCACAGAAGATGCACAGTAAGAAAAGAATTACAGAACAGACTCTAGGGAAAGAATCCTCAACCAGAAGAAACCCACAGCATAATTACTATGCAGCAGCTCCAGGTTTAGAGAGAGGAAGACACCTCCACTAACATCTCACAGGGACCATAATTGTGACCACCTACATCCAACGGAGACACCTGTTCTGAGCAAAACACATTCCCAACTTTCCACAGAGATTGCTGTAGCAAGCAAGATCCCAGATCACAAAGAAAAGGCAAAACAAGATTAAACAACTTTATGAAGGAACAGGAACAACCAACTAAAGAAAAAAAGCTGTGATGAGTATTTTAAGTTGTTGGATCAAAATACTGTCAAAGCTGCACTGCGTAAGCCAGTTTAATATAGGCTCATTTACTTTTAAATGAAATAAATTTACTTGGTGGTTTAACTGTAAAAATACAACTATAATAAACTTCCATTGTTACAACTCAACACTGTATTGCAGAATATTAAGTGAAATGTAAATGATATAAAATGAAGTATGTACATGATAAATTTAAATAAAAATGAAAAATGTGATTAAATACAAATATTCAAACACAGTAGTTTTAAAAATTATGTCTTTTAGTGTCAAGTGTCTGCCAATTAATAGGTGCCCTAAAATGCTTGACTATGATACAAGGTACAGAGGAGAGCACAGGAGCAATATAAGGGCAAGAAGCCAATGAAGCATGGCACAACTCTGTAGATTTGGAGGAACATATGGGGCAGGAGCACAGATAGATCTGAGAAGGAAACATCTCTTCATGGTAAATGCTTTTCCAAACCCATCAGGAGTTAGTACAGCTCAGTGCTGCATTAATTCCCCCCTTCAAAGTTGCTATCCTCTGTGTGCGACTGCAGGGAGGCAGCCTATTAGAGGTGGTCTGGACTTTTTTGACAAAAGTTGTGTTTTGTTGTCAGAAAATGCCAATACACTGAAATCACTAAGTTTTGTAGAAATGTATTAGTTTTGACAAAATTTTCATAGGCAAGGTTTCTCAGGTCCAGGATAGAATTTCTGGTCAAAATGGGGGAGAGATGGTGACCCACCTCAAAATAGCCAATAGCCAGTGGTTAGAGCACTCACCTGGGATGTGGGAGACCCATATTTAAGTCCCTGCTCTCAGGGGCTCATATTTCCCTTATATTGCTCTGTACCTTGTAGCTATTCCAGGGTGGGTGTGTGTCACACACACCCAGATGCACATACTTTTTCACGAAAAATTTCAAAACATCTGTTTCATTCTAGAACAAAAATAAATGTTGAAACTGACATTTTTTTCAAAAGAGAACTATTATTTTTCAGCCAGCCCTTGAGCCAATGGCAGTTTGGTTCCTGAGCGAGCCAAGAATGAGTTTTTTGCGGAGGGAGGGTACACAACAGTATAGAAATGGGTATTGTTTTTTAGTACTGCAGATCATGAATCATCTTGCCTGACAAAATGTATGTGTATGTTATTGAACAGAAGGAAAACTTCAAATGTTTTACAAAACTCAATCACCTCTGAAATAAATCACACTTGGCATCTTCACTCATAAGCACTGTGAGGGAGACTATATGTTTAGCTAGCACCTAGCCCATTGAGGGCATTACTGTAATACAGATACATTTTAAGAAAAATAATAATACTTCCATTCTAGGGTTTGTTTTTATAATGGCAAAAGACTCAACTTTATTCAGTAAGAAGATTGTTGGCTTGAAGGGCTTTGATTTTATTGGGCTGTAGCCAAGACGATAAAGGAAGAGACGAGCCTGAGAGTGGTAAGAAGAGCTTCCTTTGCCTCTGTCAGCCACTGTCCTTTTCTTGTACTGATAAACCTGCTGAAGAGATCTCCTTGGTTACTCTGATATCAGAGGGGTAGTCATGTTAGTCTGGATCTGTAAAAGTGGCAAAGAGTCTTGTGGCACCTTGTAGACTAACAGACGTATGGAGCATAAGTTTTTGTGGGCTAAAACCCACTTCATCAGATGCATGGAGTGGAAAATACTCTGGATATTCAAACACTGTTTGCACCAGACACAATATCAAGTTCTACTACACTGAAGCAGACTACCAGCGCCAACTGTACTACCCTTTCTGGCTTGCAGGCGTGGGACAGGCCCCCTCTGTCCAGGAGGTGGATGGGCTGATGTCTATTCATCAGGTAGAAACAACGTGCACCTTTTCCCCAACAGGGAAAACAAGCAATGTCACTCCCATTGTAGTTATCTGCAGAACCACTTTCTTGCCTAAGTCATTGCATAATGCCAGAAGGATTTTCATAAACCCTCACCATGGCACAGAAAGACAAAACTCAGCAACAATTGCACACAAAAAAGCAGACAAGTCAGCTCATAACCTCTGTTATGGGAAGATTCCAGGTGATACAAAAAATGAATTGATGCCTAC